AGGCGGGGAGGCGGGGGAGGCTGCGCGGAGCCGCTGCCGCTCAGCTCCGTGCTGCTCCGCTCTCACAGTCGGCACGGGATGCTCGGAGGACGGAGTTTGCCATTGCCATGGCAGCTCCCGCTGCTGCTCGCAGCCCTCTCCTGTCTGCCGGCTCCTAGCAGCGCCCAGCTCCACTACTCCGTGCCCGAGGACCGAGAGCCGGGCTTCTCGGTGGGCGACCTGGCCAAGGACCTAGGGGTGGAGGTGCGGAGCTTGGCCACCCGCAACCTGCGCCTGGTGAGCGAGGGCGGGCAGCGGCACTTCCAGGTGGACCTGGCAGCGGGCGTGCTGCTCCTCGACAGCAGGCTGGACCGGGAGGCCCTGTGTGGCCAGAGCCCCGCGTGCTCCCTGCACCTCCAACTCGTCATGGAGAATCCCCTCCAGCTCCACCGTGTCGAGGTGGACGTCCTCGATGTCAATGACAACGTGCCCCAGTTCCCCAAGCCGGAGGTGGTCTTGGAGATCACTGAGGTAGCCAACCCTGGGACTCGGCTACCCTTGGAGGTAGCAGAAGACCCGGATATGGGCTCCAACTCCATCTCCACCTACGAGCTCAGCCCCAGTGAGCATTTTGCCCTGAGTATCAACGTGAGAGGAGATGGCGTTAAAATGCCCGAGATCGTACTTGAAAAAGCATTGGATAGAGAGAAAGTGGCTGTTCATCACCTAACACTGACAGCCCTGGATGGAGGGAATCCGGTGAAATCTGGCACTGCCAAGGTTATCATCCATGTCCTGGATGCAAATGACAACCCTCCTGTCTGTGATCCACCCATATCTAAGGTACATCTGGAGGAGAACGTGCCAGTGGGTACTCTGGTCACCAAGTTGAATGTCACTGACCTGGATGAAGGTCCCAACGGGGACGTGGAATATTCTTTCAAAACTAGCAATAATGCACCTGGTAAATTCACCAAGCTGTTCTCCTTAGATCCCCGGACAGGGGAGATCAGAACCAAAGCCCCACTGGATTATGAGGAATCCAGTGCTTACGAGATTGCGGTTCGAGCCAGGGACAAGGGGTCCCCAGCCATGGAAGGACACTGTCACCTGCGAGTGGAATTAACTGATATCAATGATAACAGCCCAGAGATCGTGCTGACCTCTCTCTCCAGCCCAGTGCTGGAGGATGCAACCCCAGGCACTGTGATTGCCCTCATTGGTGTGAAGGACAGTGATTCTGGTGACAATGGGCAGGTCCGCCTGCAGATAGCAAAAGAGCTCCCATTTAAACTGGTGTCATCTTTTAAAGAGCATTTCTCACTGGTCACAAGTGGTCCCCTTGATCGGGAGAAGGCCAGTGGATACAACATCACGGTGAGGGCTGTGGATTCAGGGTCCCCACAGAGGGCCACACAAAAAACCTTTTACCTCCGAATTGCTGATGTGAATGACAATGCACCAAATTTCTCTAGCCCTTTTGATACAGCTCACATTCAGGAAAACTCCCTTCCTGGAACTTCTGTTTTTTCAGTGTCAGCATTTGATCCTGATGAGGGTAGCAACGCCAAGCTGTCTTACTCCATCCTGGACAACGGGATGCAGGATGTACCCATCTCAACCTACTTCCGGATAGACCAGGACAACGGCACCATCTACACTGTGCGGGCTCTGGACTACGAGCAAGACAAGGTGTTCCAGGTGCCTGTGGAGGTGAAGGATGCTGGGTCTCCTGCACTGAGTAGCACTACTGTGGTCCATGTGTTTGTCCTGGATGAGAACGACAATGCCCCCACCATTGTCTACCCATCTGTCCCCAAGGGCTCTGCCTTCCACCAAAGCATCCCGGCCTTAGCAGAACCTGGCTATCTGGTCACCAAAATTGTAGCTGTTGATGCTGATAGTGGCCATAATGCCTGGCTGTCCTACCAGCTGCAGGAGACCACTGAGGCTTTGCCTTTCCAAGTGGAACACCGCTCTGGAGAGATAAGGGTTGCACAGGCTCTCAAGGAGTCAGAAGATCCCCACAGGCTGGTGGTTGAAGTGAGGGACAATGGGATACCGTCCCTCTCGGCCTCTGTGGTAATAGTAATTTCCCTGGAAGAAAACAGTGTGCAGGACTTTTCCAAGTCCTTGGACCTCCCCAAATCTTCTCCCAAGGATACCAACCTAACGCTTTACCTCATCATCTCCTTGGTGTCCATTTCCCTTGTGTCCTGCGTGATGTTTGCTGTGGTGGCTGCCCGGTGTCTCAAAGCTGGCACTGCCAGCTGGACCTTCGGGGGTTGCTGCCGAGGGACTGGCCGCAAGCCTGCCTCCCATTTCCATGGGCAGATGAAGCCAGATGGCTTCATCAAGTACCTGGACGTGGGAGGAGCGGGCTTGACCTCCCAGGCACAGAATTACACTTCTTGTTTCTCGCCCATGTCTGACCAGAGCGATTTCCTCTTTGTAAAACCTTTCAGCCATTCTAGCACTGCGGAGACCGTGGCTGCCTATGAGCAGGAGACCAGCACCTTAGCAAGTCCCTGTGATGGGGTAAGAGATGGGTGTTTCTTACTGTCCTGTGTATTAAGCGCAACAGTCCGTAATATCCAGGCCAGTTGGCTGTTCTCTGTCCTTCCACCTAAGAAGGTAGCTTCAGGGAATGTGTGTCACCATCACCTCCTGGGAGGTGGCAGGTGAAAGCTTTGGCTCAGCTTGATGGAGGTGGGGGAAGGGGCTGGGCAGCACTATAAAATCAAAGACTGTGTGTTCGTAGAAGTGGAGAGTTTTCCCTTGGCCCCGTTCGTACTCTTTTTAAAGTGATTCTTAGCATGGTCAGGAACATGTTTTTTTGGTGTTTAACTCTTTGAGTCTATTTAACCCCTTTATGCTGCATGGCATCCAAACCGCAATGTGGGAGGAGGTTATCTGAAAGCAAAGTTTGTCAGTGTTTATTTTGCTCTGTTTTAGAGGTGCATTGTAGAAATTTCTCATTTCTTAACTCCCAAGTGTTACTAATTACTGATTGTGCACTGGCAAGGGATCATTTTCCAGCTTGGTTGTTTTGAGCGAGGGGCTGAATTCACTATTCGGCACTGAACGTAGTGACGTTTTTTGCAAAGGTCCTGGTGACCTTACATGCCCTTGGGCTTGCAGAGACCTAGGCAGTGGCATGCTTTGAAAACTTCAGCCACTTGTATTCAGATGTCTAAATATGGATGTAGGTGACTGTATTTAGCTGTAGCTTTTATAACTTTAGGATATAAAAAAGTAAAGTAATTTTGCGTCATAAATGCCTGCCCTAAATTTGAAAGTGGTAATTACAACAGGAATTCAAAATATAGATTGGGAAGGGCTTATGTAGTGCAGGATTGTGTGTCAGCGTGTGCAAAAATGTGTATCTGAAATCTGGAGGGCAAGTATTTAAACAGCTTAATTTGCATGCAACATGGGTACCAGTGGGGCCTCTATTTTAGGGGAGTAATTTATTCTAATATATTCTTTCATGAGATTCATCAAAGCTGTGGAGAAATAAGTGAAATCACATCTACTAAATAAAAATCTAGGTCAGCTGTACCCGTCTTCACTTTTCCTTAGTAATTGCATGTACAAGCAGAATAATCCTATAAAACTGATGTTCCACTGTTTGGACTATGAACTGCTCATTCCTAAGGTAACTGAGAGAAATGTTGTCCTTTCCAGGTAGCATGTTATCATTCTGGAGTTAATTAAGAAGATTACTATTTTCGGAAGTATGCCGTCTTCCAGACAGAAAACAGTTCAGCTATTTAGTGCTCTTCACAAAGGCATGATTCAAACAGGAATATGCAAGCCTGCTTTGTGTCCTTCCTTATTTACAAAATGTTCATTGTCTGATGGTAAAATAACACAGGCAGAAAGCGATACAGGGGCTTACTAATGAAGTTACAAAGTGTGCTGCTGTGTCCGAAGTTTATTGTATCTCCTAAACAAATAATGCTTTTTTCTTTTGCTGTCGGAAGTTCATTCTTTTCTCTGTGGACAGAAAATACTGTAGTGCTCCGAGGACACAACACCTAGGAAAAGTCATTCAAATACAATGTGTGAATCAAGATCTCAGGCAGGCCTTTTTAAGGACAGAAGAAGGACAGATTAGGAAGGTCTGCTATCATTTTACCTTCTGGCATTAAAAGCATCTTTCTCAGTCTCAATTAACTCTGCCACCCCCACCCCCCCAAGCTCATTACTTTGGTACCATTGCTTCTGCTGAATTGATGCCCTTATCAGTTTATTTCATGCTTCATTTCTTTCACAGCCTGGTTTCCTGAGCTGCTTTGGAAGATTATTCGCTGAATAGTTTTTGTCATGCTTTTTAGTATTCATGCTGGTTCAGAAATACTCAAGAAAGGGGGAGGGGGAGCTTTCTTTTTGTTCTAATTGATTTGCTTTACTTGGAAAGAACACGCTGATACTCCAGACTCAAATAATCCAGGATCAGTTCACTTTCATTTTCAAAGGCAAGAATGGAGCTATTAAAACTCTTCTATTTTCTCTGCAGCAAGCTCAGCCTAACACAGACTGGCGCTTCTCTCAGACCCAGAGGCCTGGAACGAGTGGGTAAGTGCCTCTTTTTCCATGTATGTGTCTAGTGAAAGTTTCTTTCCTTTGCATGACACTTTCAGTGCTGGGAAGTCCTCGACTGGCAGCTCTGAGGATGGGTGTTCCCTGTCATTGGTAGAATTGTCCAGCCAAAGAGTCAGCTTCTCTGTCAGTTCTGTTTGGTGGTGGTGTGACAGGGGTTGTTTGCAATGGTGTGTCTGGTTTGGGGTTTGGTGTCTACAGCTCAAGGAGGACAGTCAGGAACCGGAGGGAACTCCAGGTGAAGTTGTGCAATGGTTAAAGGACTGGAAAACATGATTCAAAGAGAAAGGCTTCCTCTCTAAAGCAGATTTTGAGCATTTAGACTAGATTCTGAGTCCAAAATCTTGATTCCTCTGCCTCCTTGGAGGCCACTGGAAATCACTGTGTGAGTCCCTTTACCAGCCATGGAGCCTTGAGTTCTGTGCTGCTGGTGTATATTGCCTGCTCTGGCTTGAGCACCTAGTGCCAAACTGCTGTGTAAGCCCCCATGGCAGTCAGACATTGAGTGGATGAGACCCAGGTCCCCAAAGGCCCCTCTAGAGAAATGTGTCCCAGCTACATCAAACTCAGCAGGAGCAGGTCCATCATGAAATGCCACTCTATGTGCTTTCTCCTGTAGGCTAGTCTGGCTGAGTCAGTGTTAGGTCCCCCCGGATCCAACTCCATTTGTTGGGGAGTTTGGAATCTTTCTTGCATTCCTTGGGAAGTGCCATCACCAACACGGGGTGGTTCATCAGTTCTTCCAGGTGAGGAGCATGCTTCCCACTGGAGCTGGGCAACTGGGCAGATGGAGGCTAAGGAAGAAGAAATTAAACCTAATGGGTCAGGAGACTCACAGGAAGGATGTCTCCTAAGGTCTGGTCTTGCTCTCAAAACCATGGCTGAGTTTTTGCCAATTTGTGTGTGATGTTAAAAAGATAAGCCCTGGCAGCAGAGCAGAGACCTGCCTCCCAAGTGAGTACCCCTCTCTTGACTGTGCGCTCTTGCCTCTGGCCCAACAAAGTTTGCTTTTTTTGGTCCACAGTGAGAAAGCACTGACAAGAAAATGTTGAGCAGGTGCCCTTCACCTCTCCCATCTTCCCTCGTGGCTCATAAGCGAGGGCAGGGATCCTCTTCCAAGGGTGCACTTCCTTGAGTAACATTAGGATAAGAAAGGACTTAAACTGGGAGTCCATCTTCCTCTGTGAATACCGCAACCAGAGGTTATTGTGTATGAGGAGACTGGCTCCAGGATCATTTATGTGTGAAAAGATTACATCTTTTGAGGCATACCCAAGGATTATACCCTTGGAGCAATCAGAAGTAAATTGGGATGCTGTGCGTCCATGGCTCACTGGGTCAGGTACTAAGAGAGGAGCTCATGCCTCTGTGCTTTGTCATTCCTGGTAGCCGCTCGGGCAGCTGTTGTGGAGGTTTAAATGGTGCCACAGGGAGTGTCGGTTTCTGGATTTTGGTGTCAGAGCTTGCAGTTAAAACATCTGCAGCAGCTGGTTGTGTCTCAGCCTTTCTCTGGGTCTGGCTTGATAATTTAGCTTAACAGAAAATGAAGAGACTGCTATAGCGGACTTGTTGCAGCGATTAAACTTTGTTACTAGGCTCTTCTAGCTGACAAAGCTAAAATGGAGTGAGGGTTTGATGTAAAGTAGATAAAGCATTCCTACTAGAAACCAGCTATGGACTTTAAAACAAGGTTATTGCTGGAACACTTTTCTCAGAGGTCTGTTGAATTCCCCATCACTGACAACATTTTAATCAAGAAAAGTCTTTCTCACCATTTACGCTCTAGTTCAAATGACAATTAACAAAGCCCTGTTAATACAGAAGTGCACCAGAGCTGCTGTAATAATTTTGTTACAAGAAGCAAGTAAATGAGCCCCATCAGAGCAAGCTCTGTTGCTTCCTCTTCCAGCATCATGCTAGAGCTCTTCAAGGCACAGAGCTGATGCAGTCCAGACCTACTTAACTCAGTGACAGGGACCTTTTCTCAGGTCATGGGACAGTGACCCTCACCCCAGCCTCTGCCTGAAGCTCTTTACAAGCTCCAGCCCCTTCTCAGTGCCTAAGTGGGAGCAGCAGCCTGTGGGGTGGGAAGAGAGAGGGCAGGAGGAAAGGCAGCCTCAGACTCTGTTCATGGAGAGCTGAACTAGCAGAACGTGTTGGTTCTGGTGCAGGAGCTGTGATGTTACCCCTGGTGATCTATGACCTGGGTGCCCACAGTAGTCCCTGAAACAGCCACTAGTGGCTTGTGTTGGTGCCTGTTGTGGGAGTTCCCATAGCACTGGCTGCCCAGGCTGGCCCCCAGGTTTGGAGAGTGGCTTTGCCCCAGCACAGGCTGGTACTGAAATAACTCAGTGGATTTTAATTCCTGCTGGTTTTGCCCACCTGCCTGTGTGCAGATTCCACATTTGCAATAAAATCAGCTCTTACTGATTTTGTTTTTTTGTTTCTTTTATCCTGTTTTAAGTTAAATCAAGGGAGATGTGTTTATTCTAAACCAGTGTTAAAATACTAAAGGATGGAAATAGAAAGTGCTATTTTATGTGTTCAGTGCCCAGCCCTTACATCTCTCAGATGATAAAACAGGCAAATCCTGGAGAGCAGTTCACTCCCCATTGTGCTCTTCCCAGTGTTTTGATGTCTGGTGGGTGAATTCCCCAAGCACTGGTTGGTAGTACAGGTATTAAAAAAGGTGCAAGGGCAACTGCCTGAGCCCTGCCCACTGTTACTCTCTCCAATGTTAGCTCACGTACAACTGTGTTTCCTGCTGACAGGCGAACCTCTCTAGGACCGTGAGCTCTCCGAACAGCAGGGCTCTGCTTGGCTCTCGGGGAACACAGGCCACCTCTAGCTGAAAAGAAAAAAAAGGGATGTGCTCTTAACTGCATTTGTCTGACCCAAATTAAATAGCAATAAATACAAGGCAGCTTAGGCTAGTGGTTTGAATGGGTCCTGGAGGGAGTCCGGCACTGACCCTAAGCCAGAAAGCAGGCTTAAACCTATGTTGTGATTTCTCCTTTGCTGTCTTCATGTGAGTTGGAGAAGGAACAATCCTGTCTTTTCTGAGCATATCCCCACCCACTGAAACAAATCCCACATGTCTCCGAGCACCTGAAACCTGGCAAAACTCAGGGTAAGCTCAGTAAGGCAGGGACCGTCTCTCCATCTCATATATCGCTGCGTTCAGAGTGCTGTTACAGGACAACAAAGAGAATTTGTTCTTTGTTCGGAAACACAGGAGAGCTCCAGTGCACATGCTCAGGAAATAAGAGCTCAGACAATATCCTCTGAAAATGTGGTAGGGAGTCAGAACTGAGTAGACCAATTCTCAGTTAATCTTGTTTGGGAGAAACAGGAGGGTAGATTAATTAATTTAATGATGTTTGTATTTTGTTTTCTAAAAAAAAAAAAGCATCCATGCTGTCTCTGGGCAAATGTAAATGAGTACAGAATGATACCAAGCAGCAGATGCTGTTCCCAGACAAATCAGATCAGTGGCTGTAGTGGAGATCACAGCAGTGAATTGATCAAAGGGCAGTAGACATACAGTCTGACAGTGTTACAGGACATCCCTGTAGGATCATCAGTGTGGGGTTTCCGGGGGGGGGGGGGCTCGTATGGGGGGGCAGTGCAGGGATTGGAACTGGTATGAGGGACACATCTTGTTGCTTTTTCACTAGTTGCCAAAGGAACAGAGACGGGGCTTGTGCCCTGCACGTTCATGGTACTTGCATAACACTGGTAGCTCTTTGTTTTGATCTCTGTGTGATGGTTTATTTAGGAAAACACCTGGCTCAAGTCAGGATTTCCTTCCTGGAGGAGTGGTGAGGGCTCTGTGTTGCTTGCAGGTGGGCATGGGAGGGTGAGATGTCCTGTGCTGGGAAAAGCCGGTGTGTCCTGGGCAGCTCATAGGAGGAGTGCGGACAGTCTCAGGCCATGTGGGTAAGCTGGAAGGAGATCCCAGGCAGGAGGCACCCCAGAGACCGTGGTGGGGGACTCCCAAGGAGGTGGGGAGCAGTGTGGGAATCCCCGGTCACTCCAGGGGAGGGAGGAGCAAAGCATGCAAAGAAGATACAGAGTCTCATTTCGCACACTCCCTCCATTTATTTTCTCTAATCCTAAACCTCCCTGTGCTACAAGTTTCCAATGCTGTTGTGAGCCAGTCTCCCTCTCCCAGGGTGAACACAGTCAATAGTGATGTTCACTTCACTCACCTGTTAAACAGCATCATGGCCACCTTGTCTGACCCCGGCCATCATCACCCAGGCTGTGCAGAGGGAGGAGGGAGGGTGCAGCAAAGGGGGTTTGCAGCTGATAGTGGAGGTGCCCATAGGAAAGCTATGAAGGAAAGGATGTTTTTTAATTCTTTGCTTCATTTTCAAGCGTGAGGTCCAAGAGTTGGGCTTGCAGGACTAACGACAGCCTGCCTGTGTCTGGTGGGGGACAGGGAGGGGAAAAAAGGTGTTCCAAGGATAGTCCTTAAAGCTCTCAGGAGCATTCTTGGTGATCAGAACGTGCAGGTACTGCCAAAGGGTGGCTGCAGCTCAGGGGGCTTCTACTGTGTGTTTGGGGTGGTCAGACAGCAGCACCCCAGTGTACCAGGACACGCTCCTGCCAAGGGGAGCCTATATGTGTCTGTGTGGGTGGGACATCTCAGAGCACACAGCAGCTGGGGCCAGAGGCAGAGGGAGACGTGAACATTCATGGGTTTACGCAGCGTGGGGGCGGATACACAGCAGAAAGACAGCTGGCCAGAGATGCAGGCTTTAGCGTGTCCTTCCTTAAAAAAAATACTTGCTAACCTACCAGCCACAGGGGTGTCTGCAGGTGTTGTAACCCCACAGGAATTTACGTTGCAGGTTTGTGTAACATTGTAGTGGATATAGCAGCAAGTGCTATAAAGCACATGCACACCTGCACCAGTGGGGATGTCAGGGTAAACACTGACAGATTGACCTTCTGTCCACTTTTTGATTGAA